CAAACGGTTGAAATAAGTACGTACATATTTTAAATTTTACTCTGGGGATTTTAAAATACACAGGGTTTTAAATTAGCAAAATCAGCATCTTTCTAAATAACTCTATTCTCACGGAAATAATGCATGCGTGGCCGATTCACGTATAATTTTTAGTTATTTCAATATTACTGTATCAATATTACTATTAAAAATAATGACAAACAAGTTATTTGTCATTATTTTTTCTCTGTTATTTAGTGACAGGTATTGTAACAAGCCAAGGGTGTGGTAACTTTGAGAACGGTTATACTACATGCAAAAATTTAAGTTCACTATCTTGACTCCGGATTGACGAATTGCAATTATTTTTGCACAAAAAATCATCCCAAAAAATTGGCAATAACAATTTAAGTGTCCCAAGCTCCAAAAAGAGATATGCCACACCAAAAGATAGAAGGGGTTAAATGTATACCTAAGTGAACCTTTTTAATAGTTAACAATTTTTTTGCTTCCATAATCTTTTTGCGCATCACCTAAGAAAAATCCATATTTTCTGATGGAATTTCTCCTAGTGTGCAACTACATAACGCATCACACACGAAATAAAATCTGCAAAGAACGTCTGTCAAGTTTCAGATTTACTTAAATTCATTGTATTTTTATCGCAGAACGACTTCAGAAGCATTTTTTTGGTAAGCGTTTTGCTTGGTCGAGTATATATAATTTAGCTCAGATTTTCCATCCCGAATATTCCGCATTTTATTTTCTAGTAATCGCATAACCAATGTTGCAAGAACGGCTAAATCATATTGATGTGAGCATTTACGTACGTGCAAGCTTGATGTTATTTTTTTCTGCTGAGTTTGAAAATGTATTCAGTGGCAATTTCGCAAAAGTAATATCCACATTCGTACCTAACACATCAATATCTGTCAAGGATTATTTTCTACCGAGGGCCATCGTCCCCTAAGTAAAACGAGTGCATAATTTTAAGAGACTTTGGAAACAACCAGCATGCAACAAATTCTTCCGAATGTGCATGGTTCCACATCCCAGTATTAATTCGCTGTCTAATTGTGAGGCAGGGACACGACTGCTGTTAGTATAATTGAATAATTCAATTTTGCTGTCACAGTATCGATCACGATTGCTCTCGAATCTAGAAGTTGGACACATAAAGTTATACAAGCAAGCACAACAGTATGTGTGCATGTTCGTTCGAGGTGCCTGTGATTGATAAGGTGTTGGGCAAAACGCATAATGTGCTCTTGCTCCAGATAGCACTGGAAAATGGAATATGAAGTTGCGATAAAATAGAATTTGTGGCCATACCACACCTCCAAAGCTTCTCGTAAATGAATGAATTGATAAAAGATGTTGGAAGTTGGAGTGCTTTTCCATTCGAATGTCCACTCGTCCTTTTCGCACAGCGGGAAAGGAAATTCGGATACGGTGTTTTTAATTTCAAAGTAAATACGCTAAAGTACTGTTGCAAATTGTGTTCATTAGCGAATATACGGAATATAAGTGTGCCTCTTAATTAGGGGACATTCCGGTCTGACACGCGATAATGTCGCATGCTAAACGAAGGTATAGGGACGAACGTTGTGGTCAAGATCGACGAACACTGACAGCAATTTACTTGACAAATTTAGACGAAATGAGCTGGCCAGCGATGGGTAAAATTCTTCGTGGTCAGCATAGGCTGCTGGATAGACGCTTGGATTATGGGATAACTTTTGGCAAGGTGCTAAAATTAATGAGAATGCAACACGAAGTAGGGACGAAAAGTATTTCATTCCTATTCTATTTTAATAATGCAGGGGGGCACCTTTTCACTCAAAAAAAGTATGGATTTTATATTACTGCAAATATTCAACAAATCCCGAATCGTATCAACATTTTATTCTAGCCTGGAGAGATTCAAAGGATATCAAAATTAGTTTAAGAATTCAAAATAAATGGATTCGGATTCCAGAAACCCATTCCCCTAGAAATCATTTACTATTGACACGTGTTATAAGATTCTCGTCCATCCTTTGAGAGGGTGGACAGAAGGAATGTTTTTTCATGAAAATATATTTACGTCTGTGGACACTCGCATAATGCAGCGTTGGGATGTTTCTTTCTTCAGTTGACAGTCAAAGAGAGAAAAATGTCATGAAAATGTAAATATCTCGCCGGTCACATAAATTCTTTGAAAAACTCCCAAACGTCCCATTTTAAAATTTTGTGTCTCTTAAAGTACGAATATTAAGTAAGTGGACAATGGCTGTTCTCTCTCCTTTCCAGATAAAAGAAAGTCTCCCAGTCACTTCCACCATTGACTCCACTTTCCAACTGCTCTTAAATATTATGCGGCGAGGACGACACTGAATTTGGCAAAGAATTGGAAACGAGCAGTCCTACTACAAGTTTGAGCTCGTTGCATTTATAATACCGACGAGGGAAAAGTCGCGTTTTTTCACAATTTATATACTTCTGCATTTCCCTCCCTTCCGTAGATGCTTGTAATCCTCTTCCTTTCCAGGTCTTTTTCCATTTCATAATTACATTTGAACCGAGCTATGCCGTGCTTTGTGTAAAAATTCAAACGAGCAAACTATTCAATTTCGAGTAACGTCTCTCTTTGGCCGAGTTGAAAGAGCCAGGTACGACGCCGGCAGTAATGCAATGGTAACAGGGGAGAAAGGTTACCATTCTGGAAATCAAGATTGTAGAACAACAAAGCTGCTCAACATTATAAAAGTCGGTGAAGGATGCATAATGCATGATGCATACTGATGGGATGACGTCGCCCACAAGTGCGAAGGATCAGCTAACGCACGACTGAGTCCTTCCCACTGCCGAACACAGTAGCTTTCATACAGTGATTGGAACTGAGATATGGCAAAAAGCATTGCTGCCACACTTCTTCCGTTGCTGGGCTGACTAAGGGTAATGCATTCATGTGTGTTTCTATGTGTGTGGGTGTGGGTTGGGATCATGCGATGCGAAAAGAAATGTTGGTGAAGAGAGAGAAAGTTGAGCCAAACCCTTGACCAAAAGTATTCAAATATCTCAAGACGAAAAAGGTGGTAGTAAAAATCTAAGTGTGCAACTTTTACCAAAAAAATTGGTAGGAAACCAATAAAAAGAATGTGTGTTCCTTCGACCGAGCAAGACAGATGGGAATAAGTACAGGTAAACATGCAAGTGCACAATAAAAATACAAATTCACTATCCACATTTCCAATCTGGCTCAGGAACAAGTCCATTATATTCTGAGCGATTATGATTACAACCACGGAATAAAATAGGGACGGAACAACCAAATTTTGCTGCTGGCCGGACGGGAGTTAGACGGACAACATTTCACCACTACGTGTATTTCATTGGCATGAATACAAATTAAAACCAAACTGTTTAGCAGTGTCAGAGACGTGGGGCGGCCATATTATGGGAATATATATTATTCTGTCTCATTCACTTTTCACGCAGGTAGGTGGGTGGGTGCATGGCGATAGATTACCATTTTCGAGGAGGGTGCTTGAAAGTGAGCATAATTGCTTTTGTTGGCCCGATCTAAGGCTTATGCAGTCGTCATGTCATCCGTCCCTCCGTTACACAAAAGAGTGCAAACTACTGAGCAGATTTAAGAAAAATTTTCCAAAAATGTATACGGAATGATACCACACTTCTTCTATAATTGATTCTAGAAAGGTCACATTTTCTATTCATAGTGGATTTTCCGTCCAATATGCAGTCAATTTGTGGACTTTTGTTGTGATGAAAACAGTAGAATGACCATCCATGGTTTTTGAAAACTGTTTGGCTAATCGTAAGCCCGAGTTGGTTGCTTATATACAATGGCTGATGAAAGTAAATTATTTATCCGGTGTCCTGACTTCTGTCGAGTAGAGTTAACGTTTGGAGCATCACTATCTCGGGCTACATGAATGCAGAGAAGGTTTTTACCCAGGTTGACTTGTTAGACACTAATTATGCTCATTAATTACTCCGTGTGGTGCAAGACGTGACTTCTTAGATCGCAGTTGATCCGAACCAAATTATTCGCTTTCTTTATTCGAAAACATTTCATTTCTTACACACGCCTGTCTGTTCCATGGGGTGAGCAAACCCAGAAAATTTTGATATTTCCTATTGTGTGCTGCAACTACAGGAAAAAGATAGTTTGAGCCGCAATTTTCCCAATTACGAACAGAAAGGTAATTTCTGGAGAGAAAGTTTGTTTTTTAAATTAGTCCCTTCATTATCTGTCAGAGGTGAAAGTTACAACATCCTCTCGCACAAAGACGAGTAAGGAAAAGCAAGAGAGAGGAAGAAAGACCTGAGATACGAAATTCCGGATTGCCTTTCTCTTTGTCCTCGCAAGTTCTAGTTTCTCGCGTCCTTATTCAATTGTTCATTTGCAACTTCAAACTAAAGTCTTTGTGAGTCTAAGATGAAACTAGGTGACGTTGAAAGTGAGCGAGTCGACGGGCAAGATTAACGTCATGTATTTATCAAATGTCCACCATGCTGTGGGATTCTGGACCATTCACAAGTTCAAAGGAAGATCTCATCTCCTACTTCCGCCTCAACTTCATCTTCTTTCCTCCCACTGTCTTGGATTCTCAATTAGCTCAAAATCTGGAAATTGAATAAGTTTCTAGGAAGATGAACTTTACAATAAACTACAAGAAATATTGGGCACCCGTGTAAAAAAACAAGTTTTGCTCAGGTTTGCTAATGGCACAAAAAATGGATAAAGTTGGTCTTTTTTAAACAAGAAGAAGGAAAAGGCTCGAATTGCGTGTCAGGAGGGAAATATGCTCCTTGTTCAGTGATATCTTTCTCCATTTGACCATAATGCGAAACAACGATAGAGTGCCGTGTGCATTGTTTGTTGATTTTTTTGTTGAGAGTGTTTGGTCGCGTGGGAGTGAGTGAGTGAGCAGTAATATTAGTGATATGCTTTAAAAAATATATAATGCAAATAGCAAGTGGGGTGGTGGGGATTAAGTATATACGAAACTCACCCCGTTCCAGTTTGCCCATTGAGCCTTGTTGGGAACGACGAAGAGCTGAGGTTTGCAAGCTTTCTTTCTGTTTCCTCCTGCGGATTTTGAAACCGGTGGACTTTGACTGTTTCTGACTTGAAGACGACCCTCCACCACGAGCTGAGGCGTCGTTGGATGAGTCTGAGCTGTTATCCCGGCGTTTGTGAACACTGGCTCCGCCGCCCATCCTGTCACTCTCTTTTATATGTCTTGGCTGCTCTCCTGTAACACAAAAGTAGTACAATGGAATTAATCCTACCGTCCCAGTCCAGGCGAGGATAGATTGAGCATATGCATGGCCATACAAGGTGCACATTTCCCACTGGAAGAAAGAAAGCAAAAGCACGACACCCTGATAGCGTGCTGTGTGGTGGGCAAACAACACTCCTCATTCAATCATTCTCACCATGTCCACTCGCTTCTTTCTTCAGCTTGCAGAAATCCCGGCCTAAATTTCTGAATAATCGACCCAAACTTCCACCAACGAACCACGACGGCGACGACCACCATCATCATTCACCAATCGTATCACCAACCAAGTATATTTACTTCCCTACGCCACCCATCCATCCAGTCAGTCAAGAGTATACTTTGCCACGTCGTTGCATCCATCACATTCTCGCCGAAAAAAGAAATCATTAAGAGTTTCGCAAGTTATGACTTTGTTCCGTTGGTATGTAGAAGATAGGAGAAAACCGTGTCCCGACTTAATCCCGTTGTAATCCATCACAAAACCACCACCAACACCGAGTTGCGGCCGTACCCTAAGCTCGTCTCAGCACCGAAACAACTATGTTATTCAACTCACCTCTCTCGCCCAGTATCTAATAAGCAGGGCGAGTACACAGTCGTGGGTGGGTGGGTCGTCGCATCATCCAGTATTGGTATCAACAACTGAAAAATTATCTGCACGACAACGTAGCTCCTTATATTTCTTTCCTATTGTCTTTCAGAGAGGTTGGTCACCAGAGAAAAGTGAACTTGATATGGGTCACGATGATAATGATGATGCCAAGAGAAAATTTTGTGTCGCAGCACATGTTGTCCTCTCTGCTCCTGCGACTATCCACCTTCTCGAGTACATATTTCCCCTGCACTGTATACATACATATATGTACGAGAACATGTATATGGATTTAGTTGGCAGCCTTCAAGTGTACAAAAATATGGGACGCCTCGGCTGCCGACAATGCAATAATAATTTCCTTAACATTTACTCCCTTTGGCGTGAGATCGAATTTAATAGAGGACGAAGACGTTTCGTTCTTGAAGTGAAGGTGCAAGAAGTAGAGAAAAATGAGAAAGAAGAAAACAGCGAGGCGAGAGAGAAAGAGAGATATCTTTAGGAGGACGACGTGATACAACGCTTCGTTTTGTAGATGAAACGGGACTTGCAATCTAAATTATGTTGCGAGAAAGTAATCTCTCCTGCACGCACATCAAACTTATCTGGATTTCTTATTTCTATCAATAAAAAGTCATCAACTTACTCGAGTTTCGCGTAAAATACGCCTTTGTAAAAGAAGCACGAAACCAGGGGTAGCTTATAAATACGTATTTACATATTGTGGGCAAGAGATAGGATCGCGTTCAAAACTCATACTTCGTAGAACATATTATGATTTTATGTTACAATAAATTTTATCCAAATAAACTAATAAATTTCAATAAGGATGGAAACATGGCTTTGGCGAATGGGACGAGACAAGACTTTGTTCAACTCTATCTATTTACTTCTCATTAATGTAATTGCCTACGACTCCAAGTAAGTTTTTGGGAATTGAGAGGCAGTCTCATTTGTTTTTACGGACATAAATAAGTTCAGCAGGAGACTGGGGAGATAATGAGAGGAGTTTTTGGACTCTGTTATTTAGAGCGAAAACATTACTGATTTGTGATATTGAATTTACAGGAATTCCGCTCGTGTGCAAAGATTTGGACTTCAAAATGGGACAAAGAAGACTTGTCCTGTAAATTTTGAAATGAGTTCTGCCTCTGGTGAAACCATTTAACGTGTCACTCAATGGACACGCTGAGCTGTGCAGGACAAGTTTACAATTTTGAGTTTAATGAGTTTCGTCGGGAAGGACGATTTGTATGGAGAGAAGCAGGCCTGCTCCTCCCTTGGAGAAAGAAGATAGCCCAGCGCGACGAGGTATAATTACAGAGATTTAGCTGATTTCGGAACAAACTATGTATGCAGTGTGGCAAGGACGACTTTTAGGATTTAGCATTTGTTTTTGCGACCCACCCAGGCGAGTAATAAGCCAGCAATGCCTTGAATTGGTTGGCTGACTGCTGGTTTCTGTCGGGCTGCCTACCTGGAATATTCTCGTCTGAAAAATATGTAGCAAATTGGAATTGAATCCGCCAGTCTCGATTCTCGATTTATTTATCTAATACGTATTCCCATGTGATGTGAGGTACACAATTGGGAGTTGAAAGTATATGTACGATTCGATCTGAAATTCATACTTCCTCATTTGGAGTTGGAGTCATTGTGACATTATTAATCCTTCTATGCCACAAATATCCTGCATCTACCCAACTCTAGCATCATTTCTTTTCAAACGGCAAAACCACGAATGGTCCTGGTTTTAGAATACCTTGTTACAGGACAAAGATTGAATGAGGGATACGAGACGAGCTTATCAAAGACGATGTACAGATCATGTCAATTGTAATGGAGCTAATCTCGAACCTCCCTCATCCTCCTCCTCCTCTTAACGAAAATCATTTATTTCCTCCTCGCAGAAGTAAAAGCATTGCATGTGTGTACCCCATGTCATTACGTTCGTATATTTTATCAACGAAGAATATTTCGTAATCACACAAAGTAGTCACAAAAATATATGTATAATTAATGCGTACAAAGATAATGAAAAAGCAGAAATAAAATCTGTCACTGCTTCAGAGACTGAACTGAATAGCAGACAACGGGATTGGAAATAAAAGCACCCACTGAGAACGCGAATCTGTATGAACAACCTTGCACTATATACATACATACATATACATATATACAGTATGGATGTAGCTAACTAGTAGAGAAGTCCGTCATTCGACAGGACGTTGAAATTTTAATAGGCGACAGCATCCTGATTGCTACATAAAAAACTATGCGCAAAATTACCTTCAATTCAGTCGTGATACTGTCGCTTCTGTTGGATTCTCCTAACTTGGAGGAAGCTCAAGGAAGAAACCCTCCCCCCAAGTAACATCTATGGATTACATCTTATGATGCGTAAGTTCAGATGTCAAATCAGAAATCCGTTTTGTACACTTTAACTATAAATCCGAAACCGAAAAGCCGATTTTGGATGTTAAAGCATACAAACGGATTTCGGATTTGACTTAACTCCGAACCATGTTTACATATTTTGCTGTATTTCTACACTTGCGTTTGTATTCTGCAACAGGAAACAAAGTGACTAATCAATACTCAATACTTGGCTTTGGAGATGCCACAATCTTGAAAATCTCATGCATCCGCTTTTGCCCAATACCAAAAACTTCTCCAACGGCATGCTACCCGATTCGGTGAGATAAAATTTTAAATTTGACCACACCTTTCAAAGAAAATTTAACCATGTGCCGATTAACTTGAAAATAGTGGAGGAGGACAAGCTACATACGTCAATCGACCAAAATGTGGGCTCATAAACTTACATACGTAAGTACACAGCATTTCATTTTAACAGGAGCATAAAATAGCAGATAGTAGATTCCGTGGGAGGGATAATAATACGTTGGAATGAAAGTGACAAGTTGCTTCGTAAGTTTAAAAAGTTTCGAGAGAGAAAAACAAAAAACATCGAATTCTTTAAAACTTACAAAGATCACGCTTTTTTTAAAGCCCAACGTTAATGTTAAATTAGAATCCGTCCAAAGTTTTAATTTCCTACGGTATCGGGTTTCACATTTTTTGCCCAAGTATTATTAATACAGAGGAAAAAATACGAGAGGAAAACTTGCAACTTCAAATTTATTCAGAGGCATAGTTTTTAATTGATTTTTGGTCATAAAATGTATAGAAAAGTTTATTAGACACATATAAAAAATCCCTTCTACACTTATCAGTTAGAGAGAAAGTGGGGAAGTGTATATGTAGAAGCGCTTATGGGCTCAATTACTATTCTACCTGCGTTCAGCAGACTCTCTCACATTAAGATTTTATATAAGTATAACCACAAATTGGCTAAAAAACTCAAAACCAAAAGAAAAAAAATACTTTCGACAAGTGTGCAACTTTGATAACTTTGACCAGCACCACGGTGTAAAATGAGACATTTTTCTCTCTTTTCTCCTAAACTATTTCGACACCCACCCACGACAAGAAAAAGTTAAACTGTGTTATTTCAACGAGCCAGCAGTTGCAGGAGCAGTCGAGGAGGAATGCATCACAAGTTTCTTTCAGATAACATTTCAACTAGAAGAACAGCTCCTGTCATACGAAGAATAGGGCAGCATTCCTGCCGCTGCCTTGGCCAATACAATTTATTTATTGCATAATACAATTATACAACCAAAGCTGCCAGCCCATGCAGCCACGCAATTCGAACAAAATGCAATGCATACCTTGCAAACTTTTACACAAGAGGAGAGAGAAAGGTGTCTGGCGAGAACAATTAATCCGATTTTGAATCCATTTGTCCTTAAACTTGAGGCCGCCTACGGAGAATGAGTAATGGGAATAAGAAAACTTTCACGACATTCCCTGCTGCCTTTCTACATAATAAAACTGGGCAAAGTGAAAGCAGGCTCGCATTGCCCCAAAACCCAACGGGCACAATGCTTGTCAAATGCATCTTGCTTTTGGTGAAATGGAAAGTATGAAAAGAAGTGGAATTTGTTGGATGAATCGAGGAGAAATTCACCACTCCGGCGTGAGTGGAAGTCGTTGTGTGTTAAATAAATAAGGGAACGATGATCAACAACCATCGAAATTGATATCCGGTGAAAGTATTGGACTGTACTAATTCATTGCACTCCTCCTGACAGGCAAAGTAGCAGAGGGGAAAAGTCTCCACCTGCTCTAGTTTATTTATATGTTGCCCTTTTTCGACAAGAGTTAGAGGCTTCTTCTTGACTACTACGCTCCCCTCCTCGCTCCTGCTGAATATACGCCCATCATACACGAAGCCATAAAATACATGTATACTTTTTGGTGGTGGAAGTAAATGATAGCAGCAAAGCAATACCTATTTGCGTGTCAATTGAGCGAATGGATTTTTGGGTTCTACAAGTGTCAGTAAATAATTCAGGTGGTCTCATTGTGACTACACACATATTTGTAATGTATGGTCTCTGCTCACTTTCTCTCGCTTACTTACCTGCTCTTTCTTTCTAAGACGATGATACGCCGTCCATAATGATGCTATTATTAATTTCTCCGGCAGGATCCGTCCTCAGCTGAGTGTGTCGCAGTTGGGCCGAGTCAGAATTAAAGGACAATGGTGAGTGGTCGTTTAGTCCATTGGTATTTGGTCGCTTTGATGATGACCTTAACTCCAACAGTGTCTTGACCTTCTTCTTACCACCGCGTCACCTTCAATCCTCACCTGTTGGTCTGAGAAACAACCTGCCGTTATGTAAGAGTTTTGCTGGGTAAGAAAGTGTCGTCGCCCACCACCTCGTCTCAAATTCCCCTAAAGTTTACTTTCATACCTTTCCAGATTTTCCCATGTACGTAAAAAAACTTCCACTTTTTCCCTTCAAAGTTTAACCGTCCATATTGACAAATCACAAATTTAACAGCACCTCGGATTAGACTAAGAGCCAAGTTGGGCTTAAAACGATATGTGTGTAAACGAGTATTACAGTATGTTTAATTCACAACGATTGCTATTTCGGTAGATTGGCTAATATTCATCTCCTTCGAACGGTATATTATTGAGAATTTGTAGACAGCGATGTATGTCTGAGCACCCCACTGTTTCTGACTGTGTTATTGTTAACTATTCAAACCCCTTGTTCTCAAAGGGAGCAGGAATAATATGAGTTGACAGAGTACGAACGAACGCCGACTGCCGGAGACTTATTATTGAGCTGAGCGACCTGCAAGGATCAGAACAGATCTGAGCCCGGCCGACAGATTCTTCCTTTTCCCTTCAACAACCAAGAGCAGAAGCAGCAGAAGCAGAAGCAGCAGTCCATGTCTGAATCTGTCTGCCTCCTTTACACCAAAAACGGTATGAACTTGGGCTGCGATGATCCATCCACCAGTCAACCAACCAACCAAGCGGTTCAACTAACGGGTGCTCCTATGCTTTCTCGGGTTTTGGGGCAACCCGTTCTTCTTCCGTCACTTTCCCCATGCGAGCAGCCAACAACAACTTTCTCTCTCATTTCTCTCTCTCTCTCTCCACTTTTGTGTTTCTGCGAATGACTGTGTTGTTGTCGCTGTACTGCTCGACGACTGTGTTGCCAGTCTATATTTTACTCGAAAGAAAAGAAAAGTAACCACATTTACACAACCAGGTGTATGTATTCTTCTTGAGAGAAAGCACGGGACCAAAGGCTTGACACATACTCCTGACGGTGGTTGAGGTGGTGGTGTGGTGTTCTGCCCACTTCTATTACTTTGTCTCCCCCAAGAATAATGTGTGCTTACCACAATGAAAAAATTACATTGTGGAAAAATGCTGCATGGTTTGGTTAGGTGGGTCATGTCGTTTCCCATCAAGCGAATGGAGCACACCAGGACACGCACGCACATAAACATTGCATTTATGGAGATTGCCAACAGGAATGAATACGAACGAAATGTAGATGTGGATAAATAATGAGGAAGAAGAAGAAGACCGAATTTGTACGAAATCCTCCTCCTCCTCGCCCCTGTTATTTTTTCATGTAATAATGCAACAGAACTGCACTCAGCATGACGTGGAGAGAGCTGGGTTGCACATTATCCTATTATTATTGTCCTTTCTTTCAATTTGCATAATCGCTCAATCTTTCCGTGTTTCGTTACAACACAGAGACGCGGACGGAACACACATACGCAAACATTTCATGGACCAAAAACTAGGCGACTTGTTTGTTTGTACTTCAAATAGAACTGTTTGTAGATAGTTGTTTGAAAAAATAATACTTCTTCTCTCCCGTAATTGGTCCTCATTACGAGTTTTACATAAATACGGCTAAAGTGGTGGCGAATGTGTTTCATGTAATGAAGGGAATCACTTATTTTTTTGCTCTAGTAATAATATCCATCATGGAAAATTTATCTTGCTCAGAACATTTCAGGAAATTTTACTTTGTACGTTTGCCAGAATCTTTGGATTGTATGGGATGACAAGAACATCATTTTTCATGCGGGAAACGGCACGCTAGAAATGACATTATCTGTCTCCTTTACCAAGATTATTACGATGTTGCTGATTTGCAACAAAAAATCATGATTGGGCAACAGTCTCGTTTTCCTGGATGGATGATGGCACAATGGCAGGTTGCTTATACAAGCAGGACGACATATGAGGCCAGACCAGGCAGATTTAATTGCCTTTCGCAGAGATAAACCTCGGAAAGTATTCTAACAAGTATGCATTTTTATTTCGCAATTTTCCTTTTTCGTACATACGTATGAGTCTATCCTATTGTTCGATTTATGCAATATTACATAGATTTGTAAGTATTATGTCATATGTAGGAGATTGAGACGAGGAGAGATTTAGTGGCCGATTGTGATGTTTGATCGTAATAGAGGTTTAATGATTTCAAATCCCACTTTCTCAAACTGCTGACTTATATAAATTTATGTGCAACAGTAGGAATATACTTTTTATGTGTCGTTTCAAACGTCATAATAACCACAATCGGGTAGCGGGGAAAGCACTGGTTAAAGATATTGAATGAATAGCAACATCAAGCAGCTTTGTGTGCTGTTTTGGGACAAATTCTATTAGTTTGATGGATAATCGAGAGTCTTATGATGAAGCGATACAGCTAAAATATAAGAAAACCACACCGCAAAAGGGTGAAAGTGATACGAGTGGTTTGTAGCGTTTATGTAAGTAAGTTGTATACAAGTTTAATACCAGCCTATAAATTTTGCTGCTGAATCAGGTTAATGGTATAAATGACCCAATTTCTTTATCAGAAAAAACTTGTCTCCATTCCAATTGGCGTCATCAACTCATGAAGACAGCTATCAAACGACGAGGTTTGTGATGCTCAATAAATAATAGAAAATACATAAAAACACACATTCTGCGAGATTAAATTCTGGGTAATGTCTCAAATCTTATGAGTAATCCGCGAACGGCTCCTTTAAGTGTGAGCTCGTTTAATCTTTAATAACTCGGGAACGAGTTTGAAATCCAAATTTTGAACATAGTAATATGGGTATGAGGTATTTGAGGCATGTATGCGAAGATTCAGCCATCTAGTTTCAAGAATGACCTCTGTGGCGTTGGAGGGCAACGCAAAAACACTTAATTATTGATAGCACATGATAATTAAAGAGATCAAGATCAGGATATATGTCTACTTTATTGTACGATTGCGTAAAAAACACGAAACAATTGTTCACACAATTTGCTCATTATAAAGCAAATTTAATTTCAAGCAAACACATACACTGTCTGGTTGTAACACTACTTTGACAAAAGTAAACATCAACAAATTTTAAAATCACAGGGTTTTAGGAGTCTTCATCTATCTATTGTATGTGTCTCGAGTAAAAGGAATATCAAATAAATAAATATTAATATAGTCGTTTAAATATCAGTTCTGAGGTTGTTCAAAATGCCACACAGAATAAATCACAATTAAATATAACACTGAGGTCGATTATCAACTATCTCCAGCATAATGGAAATAAAAATACTCAATACAATTGGTCTAATCTATTTGCACACCAGGTTTAGAAAATAGGTACAGGCAGTACAGCTTTAACAATTTTACGCTATTTAACAATCAACAATGTTTTGGTTTAGACACTCGCGACACGGGATTTGCATAAATTTATTGGGAAAAGAGGGTCGTAATGGAAGGAATAGTTGAAGAATTAATTGTGGGACTAATTCGTAGAATATATAGAGTAATATGTATGTATATACTTGTATATATGTAGATATACTTATTCATGCGATCATCATTAACTCATCAAATTCATTCAGTTGGTACGATTTGAACCTTTCAGCAAGGAAGAGTTTTCAAGCAGGTCTACATGGAAATTTAGGTATTACGTACATACATTAATTAATGTATCGTCATACAATGGAGGGTTAAAGATAGCCACCAAGATTGGAAGGATGTTGAACATAGAAATTTGCATTGGGAATCTATTAAATTCCGAAATCTATGTTGTACATTGTTAAGACTTTAGACGAATTGCGATCAAGTCTTCATCAGTTCCAAAGGACATTCTGGCTTCCTCAAAATCCGAAACTGATATTTGACAGATTCCTGAGTAGAAAAGTAAAACAGGGATTAATAAAACACACACGCTCACTCACTCCACTTATCAAACTAGATCCCTTACGCAAAAACTTAAATAATTAAGACTACTTACGATCGCTTAAACTGGGGTTGCGGTAGTACACCACTTTCTTTTCCACGCTGTACCCCACCAAGACAATGAAGTGGCCTTGATACTGATCACAGCACAAGTATCGACACACGATAAAAAAGTTCCATCTGCAAGATAGACAGTTAAGCAGATTCGCGTTGACAAGGGCGATTACTGGTCCACTCCTAGCAAGGTAGTAGAAAATGTCTTCGATGGCTAATGATCGTTGTGTGACCTTGATTCCATACTTTTCAGGATTTCGAAAAAGATTTACCACTCTTGACTTATCCTGTGCATAATAGTAATAAATATTGTATTATGTATGTATGATCTCAATATTTGTTCATCATCAATGACCATCACAATTAATAATTATATTAATATTACCTTATCAATAGCACCTTTGTAAAACTGTTCGTTCTTCAAATCTGGGTTGACTCCCATGCACATTGTGAACATTTCATGCTTTACTCCGTAATAGGACAATATGTAAGCTGAAAAAATGAGAGGTCATTAAATTTCTTCGAGTTGGAGTGCTTTTTTCTCCACCGTAAGTGATTAGCATTGAATCAATTGTTTGGCAACCAATAGAGGAGTTGTGAAAAAAAAATATTCTCTTACCTAAATCGATTGTCCATGTGCTGCAGAGAAAACAAACGCCTTAATTTACGACAATTCAAAAATATTACTGTTCTAGATTATTTGTACCTTTTTTCAAAGCCTGTTTCTGGATTGCACGAAAACCACTTTAGATGTGACAGGAAATGGTGCCTTTGTTCCTTGCCTAGACACATCGCCACACAAGAAATGCCACAATCCCAGTCCGACGACTGCGTATGGTGTTCTAGATTATGCAAAATCCTGGGAATGTCCAGCAAAAAGTCTACAGAGCGTTTCCTACAATGAAAAAAATATGAACAATCATAATGAGTCCCAATTTTCCATAACTAATATTAAATTGTTGCTCACTTTGGAGAGTCCACGACAGGATAAACGAACAACTTTTCTGGATGAAGGAATGGTTCCAAATCAATTGGAATTGCAACCTGAGCCCATGTATTTGGGTCCAGCGATCTGGAAGCAGCTCCTCCAAGACTACTCCGAATAGCTAAAAGGTCTTCAGAAGACTTTCTGTTTTCATACGGCCTGTCATACGTGATAACTGCGGCCCTCATCACCCTTGGCGAATTTTGAATACTGCTGATTGCAAACTTATGATTATTTTCAATGACTTTGTGGTTACTCAAGGAGATGTTTATGTCCCCAAGAGAGTCAATTCGTCTCGGTCTGGATCCTAGTAGTGGGGGTGGGGAAGGCGAGAGGGAGGATGATTCGGGACTATCTTTCTTGGAAGAAGAGAGACTGTTACTAATTATCACCATGTCTTCGTGAAAATCTTCTTCAGTCTCCATAATGTTTCTTTTTTCTTGTGTTGTTTGTCCTTTCTTTTGTACAATATTTAACATTAAAAAGAGACGACGACGACGGATGAAAAAATTGTCTTCAAGTGTACACAATGTAAATCATTGATAGATAAATAGAAGAACTGGTCCGATAAGTTGTTACAGAGAGAGTAGGCCGGATAGTTGACAATGGCTGCAAAGTGTGTGTCGAACCAAGACTAGGCAGAAAATGAATACTGATTCTGGTCAGGCTGTTACGTAGTTTAGTTTTAATAATCTGATGCTGCTGATATTTTGAACAGACGAGTAAAATCTGGCCGCAGTAACAAAGAAGATGCTCGAAGCCAACTGGCCATTCGATTAGTCCTCGAAAGTAATTTGTGTATGGAAAAAGGTTACAATGGATTGCTTGGTCGACACGGATCACATCGTCGTTGTCGTTGCGTGTACTATGAATCCCAGCCTTCGTCCTTCCGTAGAATTTGACATTTCGCTTGACATTTTCCTTTTGTCCCCTTTGTTCGCAACCTTTCCTTGAGATACCAAAAATAAACGTAATTAATGGACAATCCCATAGCAAACAAATTTCAGACGAAACGTAATTACAATTAAAATTACAATTCGTCCAGAAACTCTGCACTATATTGTGTACTATGTACCATACCTTCACGTCAACAAGTTATTATGAAATTAAATCCACATGCATGTAACTATTCAGAGTTCATTCCACTTTTTGTAAGCGAAAATAAAATTAACAATTGAAATGAGTACTAATTTGTCATGTATATAAATAAACGTATTTACAAAGTTAATGGTTCTTTCTTCCAAACTACATGCAACAAGAGATGAGAATAATGAGACGACTCACCACACTACTTGTCACCCGCAAAAGTGAGCAGATGGTTTTCTATTATTTTTGACTGATGTCAGCAAATCAGTTTGGAATTAAATTAGAGAGCATATTTTGCAAGGCGGAGAAAGTGAAAGTGAAAGTAGGAGTGTGTAGCGTATTAGCTGATGCGGATGTGGATTTGCTTTCTCCCTGAGAAACGAGAACAGTGAGGCTGCTGCTGGCAGTGGTGGTGGTGGTGGTGGTTCGGCATGGTGAATTCGGTATTAGAGAGCAAAACCCCATTTCCCTGTCCTGTCTGAAGAAGAAGAAGCAGTAATTCAATAAAATCGGATCAATAAAATCCCCCAACACCCAGCAGGCAGGAGGCGACATTGTCAATGTCAACACGACCGAGGAGTAAGTAAGGTTTAGCAGGTCAGCTGACATCTTCCTGAGGCAGAACTTGGTAAGCAAAAAAATGCAAGCTTTCTACTACTACTTCCGGTTCCGGTGATGAGAGAGATTAAGTATATTCTTATTATCTGAGCAGTTGTCAGTCGGTGGTCGTGTGTCAAGTCAAGTGTTCGGATTACAGAATGTCGGGAAATTATTACTTTGTCGTCGTAGGACATCATGACAATCCGCTATTCGAGATGGAATTTTCTCCACCTACGAAGGATGTTAAGGTGAGTGATTAAATCGGTGTTAGAAATGATTGAGCGGCAGAGGTTTATTAATAATTGGAGGATTTAATGGTGTGTTTTTGTTTTTATTATATAGAAGGAGGACCATAGCTACCTTAATCAATTTATAGCACATGCCGCCCTAGACTTGATAGATGAACATGTTTGGAAAACTAACAACATGTACTTGAAAATAGTTGATAAGTTTAATGATTGGTTTGTCTCGGGGTTCGTCACCGCTTCACAAATCCGATTTGTGATACTTCACGATCAAAAGAATGATGATGGAATCAAAAATTTTTTCCTAGAGTTGTATGAAATGTATATTAAGGTGAGTATTATTCATTTTAATTTATATTCAATATATAATGTACATGTATTTATTGTGCATTTCTTTACATTACAGTACTGTATGAATCCCTTTTACGTACAAAACACCCCCATAGTTAGTCCAGCTTTTGAAAAGAAGGCGTTATTCTACGGGAGAAAATACTTGGTTGGATGATAGCGGCTTTAATCGTAATTAAGAACAAAACATTTTACATACTTCAAAAACTACAATTACGCCAGATTCAACATTTTCATTACCACATCACAAATTTAGACGTAAATAACTTTGTCAACCTTGTAATGTAATTGTTGACGCCTTTGTAACATTTCTTGTTATCATTATCGTAATAAAAACTGTGAACATTCCATAATGAATATTGAATAAATATAAAGACGGTCATCAAAAGCATTTTCAAGTTTTAACCACCTTTCGCATCCCTTTCGCCGTCATCATCACCTTATCCAAAACGCATCAAGGAGATTGAACAAGGTTTCTCACTCGTGTCACACCCGGAAGAATCGAAACGATAGAGTTCGTAGCTGGCGCTTTGTCATTTCATTTTCCTAGTGTCCACTGATGATCATCCCCCACACAGAAGAAATCCACGTAAAGGAGATTGTATGCCAGAGCAGAATAACAAAAGGTTCTTATTATTATTACTTGGTGGTTTTTTAGCAGTGTTTCTATAAGCGAGGAGTATTGTTGGTGAGATGATGATGGTGGTGGTGGCGAGTCTCTCTTCACTCCACCACAGACGGTGTTGCTCACAGCACACGGATCAAGGAAGCTCACAGCCAGGAACATTTGTTTGTCGCCCCTCTTTTACAGCAGCAACAGCATCACATAAATAAATAAATAATATCAACTAATTTAAATATTCTCAATCACAACAACAACAACATAATTAACTGATTACAAATTTGCATGGCCAGCTTCGGTGGAACTTGCATTGGTGACAGTAAATTTGAATAGGAGCCTCCTATTAGGGAGGACGAATAACCAAAATTTTGTGATTTTAACATAACAAAGGATTAACATTTAATACATCATTCATTCCATTTTTAAAGGGTGGATCCGAAATTGGGAAGAAGTAAAGTTAAAACTGTTTTAATTTAGTCGTTATTACTGGACAAAATTTCCTATATGAGAGATGTAAACGATTAAATAAACTTGTTTTAAGAAGGCGATTCCCTGGATTAGTGGAGAGAGGGGATTAAGTCGAAGATCGGTCATTAACCTGCCGTTAAGTAATTATGTTACTGTTGATAAGGCCTTATCATTGATTATCAAGCAGGTCGGTGAATATTGGTTAATGTTGTTTGTTGTTTTAAACGAGTGATGGTTAATAAAAGTGAATTGATCCTGGAAGTGTGAAGAGCAATTGGGCAGCGACGTACATTCATGTATGCACACAAGATATCACGGTTCGAATTAGGTAAGCATTTTTTGCATGGTTATGGTTTGTGTATAAATTTCATTTTGTCTAAGTTCCATTACCCTTTTGATTTACGGTTTGTCGGTGAGATCACTTGTTATCTAAGCCTTTAGAAATAAAATAATACGGATGTTATGACCTTTTTGGTCTGTCCTGTTGTGAGGTCAGAGATTTTGAATTATTGTTGTTCTACTACTGTGTCGTACAGTTGCTAAAAACTGTTAAGCTTAATTCCCATCGATATTATTTTTCCTGTCGTTCGTTATGCATGTGGTTAGAAGTAGGCATTTTCAATTTCTTCCAAAAATCTAGAAAACCCACATAATGTTTTCCTATCTAACAAACAGCGGTTTAATGAAGCGGTTACCGTTTAATACATCTTGTTCGTTCGTGGTGAAATTACGGACTGTTAAATTACCGGTCATCATCACATCTCAAAAATCGCAACAACCGATGGGAACTAGAAGATGAAGATGACCAATTATTTATCTCGGTATTCCGGTAACATATACTTTGCACACACACATCATCATCATCCCAATCCCAACCAAAGGGTAAAACAATGCGTCATTTCATTCATTCATACTTCTTCTTCTTGGCATGACTTATTTTTTATTGTGGCGAGAAATGAATATTAAATGATGAGAATGGATTTTAATTTTCTCAAGGAAAGTTTGCTCCATTCCATTGTCAGCTCAGATACGAGTGTTGGATTCTTAATGAGCCGTAATTAAATTAGCCTGATTTTGCCATCATCATTTTATAGAGAGACAAACAAATACAGGGACATTGTTATAGAGTTGAAAATTAAAATGGGAGCGTGGAAGATACTCGACCAGAGAATTAACAACTTCCACTCTGGCTTTCTCACAATTTTTCTCATTTGATTTGATTTCACAATAGGACTTTGTGTGGTGTGGTTGATAATACGTGAATATAAATTGTGGCTAATTTTATTATTAGTATATATGCATATGTATATTATTATAGGATAATTGTGCTGGGTGGGTAAAAAAATCTCAAGCTTGGAAAGTATCATGTACATAGATGGTCTTGATTTCGGTTCAGTTGGTACGATTCTCATATTTGTGGTAATAATTTATGTAGGCATTTTTGGTTGATTTGGCTGCTGTTGTGTACAAAAGATGTTTTGTTCTATAATCAAATAATTATTTTTTTCCGCTGGTGCGCTTTAAGAATGAGAAAAGAGATGATTTTCAAATTTCTGGGGAGATTTAGTTTAACTAACGTCACTTTTACACGGAGATTGAGCAAACAGATCTTTTTGAAATAGTATAAAGTTAGAAGTTGGAGCTAATGAAAAGCATTTGATCGTCACGATTGGAGTTGCTAAATTAACGGTATTCCGATCGCGTTCAGAAGAACTCACCAAGTCTTGGTATTATTACAGTTGTTTGTTTATCGCAATCACTCATCCAAGAAATATTTTATTATCAGTCATTATCAAGCCCTGAAATTTCCAGTGTCACATTTGATTATTTGACTTAACTGTTCATTTATCTTATTAGTTCCAAATTTGATCCGCTCTATATAAAATGGAAGGAGCAAGATGTTTTCTATACAATTTTTTGTCATTTCTGAAAAATTAAATTGTATCGAACTACGTAAAGAGATTTATCTTCAAGTAGAACTAGCTGACGTAGAACTTGCGCACTTGATTCTCTAAAAGGACAATTTTTGGCAATTTTTTTTCTAGCCTTAAAGTATGGCTATATACGGTGTGCGCCAATGTCGTCTCACGTCAAAGTTATCAATCACTGCATCCTGGAAGAATCAACTTTTTAATCATCGCTACATATATTATTCAACATGTTCAGTTGTTTATGATTCATATGTACATACATAGACTACCAATAATGATTATTATATTGCAACACATTTCTAAATAAGTTTCCTCAATGGTTTTCCTATGCACACGAAATATGTGTGTTCGCATGATTTGTTTCCATTTTATTGAACCATTGAACTAAACTAATCGGATTTTGTCATCCATAAAATGGTCTATAACCACACCCAGTCAGTGACACCCAGTATGGTACGCCAGGCATGAGACAGGTTTTTGAGATTTTTTGTGACAAAAGTGGTCATCGTTTTTTGCTCGTTGAACAATATGGATAGGTCTTCTTCAAAGCTTGCATGCAAATTATTTTGTTCAGCGATTATTAAATCTTCCCTTTAAAAGTGGATTTGTTACCGGTTTTCTCTTAAAAATTTATTACGAATAAAAATGCATGCGGGTTTGGTATGAATGGGCTGAATGGCGTTATTCGTTTTGAGTCGAACTGAGCGAAAGTGCATGTAAGTAGAGGTTAATATTTATTTCGGAAATTTCAATTTAGCAAAACGTTACTTTAAAGCCAAGTCCACACTGTTTTATTGTAAGGAATACGGTTAATCTGTGGTAATAGGAAGGAAACAATGTAAACAGCATTATCAACCTCTGCTATTGACAACTTTTATTATTTTGCTGTTGACAATAGTTCATAGTTCCCATGATGAAATGAAGATGAGGATATTACAAATATATATATCTATCTTGACTTTACGCTCATTCGTTCAATCACTATGTTATCTTCATTCATTTTCATTTCATGATGTGACATTTGATGCTCCCTCGCCGGAAGTTCCTGCGAGTGAAACTGATAGGAAATCCTTCTCGTGTGGGCTTAAACGTGGTGTAACATAACATGTGCAAACCATGTTTCCTCACTTTAATGAGAAGTATTCATTGCACCATATCATATCTCTCTCTCTCTACAACTATTTACTGAGCGGTTGAGAGAAAATGACGCATAGTGGTGGGTAAATTATCATCTGGCATTTGTCATGTATGTAGATTTTGTTAAAATTTTGTCGAGCAATGAGTTTGACCGGAAGCATTATGTTTTTTGTCAATGTTTGTTTTATCGGCTACACATATACATAGGATTTAATAGGATAGAATTATACATTTGAATGGAATTGACATGGCTATTATTGAGTGCAAGGTGAGATTTGGTCAACGGATTAACAACGGATAGAATTTTATATACCATTTTTTGCTGCGCATTATGTCGTATCCCATCCCTGTCACATTTATGACTTGTACCAGAGAAGAGATAGACAGCATTATTATTATTTTGTATTCAATCTCGCTATCTCCCCATTGATTCGTTTTTGATTGAATTGCTAGTCTTGGATGGCATGATCAGATAAGAGGGTACACAATTTCCATAAAAGTAGGCGTATTACAAGATTTAATTGAAATATGCATCTGAGCCTATTACTCGCACTTATTTTAGAAATTCATTATAAGACTCCGGCTTAAGTAATGTCGCAGCAGGTAATGTATTATACGAGGGTTGGAAAATTATCAGTGTTCTGGTCCAAGTAGTTGGTATCTTTGTCAAATGATGGAAAAAGGAAAAACACATTATTGGCAATCAGCTCCTCAGACAGGAAAGAATGCCTTGGTCAACTTTGAAAAGCTTAACATTTATTGGATTCCGTCACCACGGTCGTAAAGCTGCTTGACCACACATCAGTGATTCATCGTAGTGGGGATCGAATTGTGATTTGTTTACATTTATAGCAGCGGTATTATATTTATTGAGCAACAAGTTCATGACTACATACACATTTCTCGCGTCGCAGGATTGCTGAGCTGGCGAGTGAGTGATAAGTAATTTTTTATTGTCATCAACTAGCTGTGATCACGGTAATATAAGCTATAAAACGAAAGGGAAAGATATTACAGCAAATGGCGAGTAGTCGACTAAAACCAAAGACCGGATCGATTGATCATTTATTTTATTGAGAAACAGGACACCTGTTTTATTGGTTTTAACGACACAACAGTTTAAGGGTAATTCGGAGCTTGTGCATAAAATTTTATCTATCGTGTGGTCGTGGTTTCTTCATATTCTTATTTTTTTCTCTCTCTCTCTCTCCCTTGAGAAATCCTTTATCGATTCTTAATCGGAGAATACTGAACAATGGACTGTCGTCGTCGTCGCCATTCGCGTATTGTCCATTAGTCGATGATTTTATGCAGACTGACGGAATTAATTCATCATTTCATTTCATGTAACTCACTTGAGTTGGTGGTGAGAAAAATGGGTGGTGACACGCTCAGATAGTCCTGATTACATCTCTCTCTATTCAAGTCTAGAAGATAATTAGTCATGCACAAGAATTAAAATATTTGTGTGCTAATTTCAACTACATATTTTCAATGTAGAACGTTTCAAGTTTCACGCAGGCCTGCAAGTTTGTCACACATTCGATTGAATGAACAGTTGCAAAATCCAAGAAATGAGCGAAATGTCAAAGCTTCCTATGTCGCACTGAAAATGCAGGCGTTGTCATCTAACTAAAGTTGAAATTGAATTATTTCATGTTATCTGCTGGTTTGACCAGATCGGTTTCGTTTTACATTTGCGTTTAGCGACATTTTATTGATAAATTTACTGTTGTTTCTTCCCCTATCTTAAAATGTGCACTTAGTGGAAGTTTGCATAAGTGTAAAGTGTAATGATATTGGACGGCTGCCAGAACAAGAACCAGAAATTGAAATGATTTAAATTGATGAGCTATTTCACTGGCATGCACTGTAAAAGGACACAGATTATTCATCGAGTATTACATAATTTTAAGTGTCCAAATGTTGGACGTCATGACAGACTACTAGTTAAAGTTGATATCTTGAAGATATTATTAAATGCTATTTCGCTGTAATGCGACAAAAGAAGAATCAAGTTGGTTTTAGGTTGATGATAAAAGTAGAAAAAAAGGATCAAGAGGATTTACCCGTTGTTTGTGAGAACAATATTTCTTTTTGTTGCAATTCCTCCTCGTGTGTCATTGTCAAACGGAGTCGATTTTAAGCTTTACAATCTTGGCGATGCTATTGTCTCTCAAAAACTGTCCTTTAGTTTTGGTCGGTGTTGTATTATTGTCGGTAATATTGTAGCGAGCAAGGACTATTTTCTATTTCTATT